AACTAACATAAGAATTAAACTGGACACCATTTAAATTTTAGTCCAGCGGTAGTTTTTCTTTTATTCTTTGGGTTTAAGTTACTTTGATCTCATAAAATTTAATTAGTCGGTAATAAGGTATTGACTTTATAAGTATGTATTTATAGATATTGATTTCTTTTTATGTGATAGGTATTGAATTGATTTAGCTAAAAATAAATTTAATATTAGATTCCTCACGGCTCTTGTAACTTTTTTTTTTAAAAAAACAAATTATAAATAGAAGATAAGGAAATCAAATCTAACCCAAGGGATTGAAGTGTACTTATCAACAATGACAAAATCACTAGGTCAGTCGGGAAGGTTAAAGTGTAACTCTCATAACCAATTTGGATTTTTTATGATAGGTATTGATTTGATTTAATAAAATTGACCTCTTGCTTTTCTCCTACCGTTGCTGTTTTTTCCACGAGAGGAAAGGACGCGACGTCTGTCTTCATTCCTAGCCTTGTCTTCATTCCTGGCTTTCAAAGCCACTAGGCCGACAAGGTCAAGTGTAACTCTTATGACCTGTTTGGGTTTTTCATAATAGGTAATTAGGTATTGATTTGAATGGACAAAATTGACCCCTTGATTTTTCTCCCACCGTTGCTGTTTCTTTTTCCACAAGAGGAAAGGATGAGGGCTTTGTCTTCATTCCTGGCTTTCAAAATCACTAGGTTGAGAAGATCAAATGTAACTTTCATAATTTATTTGAATTTTTTATGATAGATATTGATTTGTATTGATAAAATTGACCCCTTGCTTTTCTCCGATCGTCGTTTTTTTTTCCGCAAGAGGAAACGACGCGGGCTTTGTCTTCATTCCTGGCTTTCTAAAGTGTGGGAGCCCCATTGCCAATCTTCAAAATAAATAAATAAACAAAAAGTGTGGGAGCCATGGAACGGAGCAGGTTTGAAAAACAGGGCATAGATGCGTAAAGATGGTCCTGGCTCTTCTGGACGCATGGCTGAAAAAAAATGGTCTTGAATC